CTCTTTTGTCCATTTATAAGACTCTCTTTTGCTCTTTCCTTCTTTCTCCTCTATTTTTGAAGATATTTTCCTATCATCTTCCTACCAGAAATTTATATTTTTGCAGAAGCCTCTAGTAGCCTTTGAGAGGCTTTTGTTTGTGTGTGTGTGTGTGTGTGTGTGTGTGTGTGTGTGTGTGTGTGTTTAATTTTTTTCCCTGTGCCTGTTATTCTTGGAGAGAAGCTGGCTTGGCTTGGGCAGTGGGAGGAAAGCGGATGGAAGACTTGGGTGGGAAGGTGGGGGAGGACATAGCATCTCTTCTGGGACACTGTGAGTGCTGGATCACCAGGGCATGGGAATCTTAGGGTCACCAGGGAAGCTCCCAGAGTGCAGGGCGGAGGTGCTTCTTCCCAGAGAGACAATGAAGCAGCCTGTGGCAGCCGCCCCCCACCTCCTGACCACAGCTCACCCCTCCCAGCCCCCACTCTTGGGTTAATATCTTGCCTGGAAAAACAACCTGGAGCTACCATGGTTACATCCATTCCTCCAGGAATGGAACAAAGACCACAAACCAAGACACAGTGAGAAGTCACTGCTGGGCAGACCAGCCCTGAAGTCCAAGGTCACTGGGCAGGACCTGTTGCCCCCTCCTCACGCTCCTCATGGTCATGATGTGTATTACCAGATCTCTCATGCACCTAGTGACATGAGGAGAGAGCAGAAGTTCAGAAAAGTGGAGGGGCCCTAATAACATTACACTGCTCTGTTTTTCTGACTCTAGATCCCAAGTGCAGGATCCCCCAAAGCTCAGGAGGTGGGATATTCAGTTTAGGGCAACTGTTTCCCATTCCTCAATGTTCAGACACACTCACCACCCACACTGAGTCACCAACACATAGTCCAGTAGACTCTGGCTCCTCTATTTAAGATGGCCAGGAAAACCTTACTGAATGATTGGAATTTTCCCTGAGAAGCGTTCGAAAGTAGTCATGTTAAAGGAATCAGACCTTATCAAGCGAGGAAATTTGCCTTCCATAAAGAACTAATTTCCTGCAGATTCACTGACCTTGGGTTTCTACCTAACAGTGGAAGGGGCATTTCACTCACAGTCTTTTCAGAGGACAAGGCCTTTCTTAGGACCAGGACCGCCGCTACCCTGAAGATAGCTTTGTGAGAATCAGGAAAAATGTGTCACTTCCTCGATACAATTTATTTTAATCTACCAAATCACTGCTATAATATGCTGATTTTGTTAGACTGGCATTTAACTGCCCCCCCAAAAAAAGTCATCATGAATATCATGAGTCTACAATATCTATAAAATGAACAGTGCCCCTGCATCAGTCGTCTGTTTCTGCGTAACAAACAATGTTGAAACTTCTTGTCTTAAAGTGAGAATAAGCATTTATCATTGCAAAGCTTCTGTGGATCAGAAGTCCAGGAAAAGCTGAACTGAGCGGTCCAGCTTCGCTCTCATGAAGGGGCCATCGAGATGTCAGCAGGGGGCACCATAAGTGCACAGTCGGAGGGGACAGGGAGAGCCACTAACACAGCTGGTTGTTGCCAGGAGCCTTGATCTCTTAACATATGGCCCTCTCGTGCCTTGAGCATCTTCCCTGTGTGTCCCTAGCTTCCTCCGAATGAGTAATCAAGAGAAAGCAAAGCTGAAACAGCCACGTCTTTCCTGACCCCACATCAGAAGTCATCCATCATCACTCCAGCAGATATTATTGGCTCCCTATTTATGTGAAGGGGAGCACACAAAAGCATAAAATCCCACCAGTAAGAGGCAGAAATCACTGGGACTGTCTTTGAACCTGCTGCTGCAACCCCTTGGAGGAGGTGCCTTTGTATAGTGAACAACCTGCAAAACTTTAATTTCAGCACTAATTGCTAGAACACCCCTTGCTATAGACCCTCACCAACTATATGGCAGGACCATGTCAAACACTTAATGCTACTGATGGCAGTATCTGCCCTCGAGCAGCTTATAACCTAGCGGAGATGTCAGACATGCCTCTCACTGGTTATAATGCAAGACAGAGTCAAATACAATAAATGACTGGAATCATCAGGTGTCTAGAAGACCAAGGGCTGGCTGGAAAGGTCTGGGACCTGAAGTTAGGGATGGCAAAAGGGATATGTGAGTGAGACTAGACTGTGGTGGCATGTGGACTATTGGAGATGCATGATACTGGATGTTTTCCCACAGGAAGTCAGCATGAGCAAAGGCTTGGAGGTTGAAAATCTATGTTTGGGGATTAAGAATAGGAGATGCAGGGGCTGGGGTTTAGCTCAGTGGTTCAACCGCCTGCCTCACAAGTGCAAGGTCCCGAGTTCAATCCCTGGTATCAAAAAAAAAAAAAGAATAGGAGGTACAGGGGTACATTTGGGGCATGCTGGAGGGGAACTCACAGCTGTGTCAAAAAGGAGGAATGGGAAAGCCTGAGTGAGCTCTGTCTTTCTTCCTCTCCTTTCCTTTCCATTGGCAGAGCATTGCCAAAACTACCAGAAAAGGGCCACTGCCCCGAAGCAGGGGAGGCTGCATGGGAAGCCAGGGAGCTACTGTGAAAAGCCTGGGAGGTGTTCGTGCTCCACTCCTGAGACCAGACCAGCATGCCTGGAGGACTTCAGTCGGCCCTCCCTGACCCTGCCGGCTTGGCCTCCCTGGAAGGCAGGGCTACTCCCTCCATGCCAACCTCAATCCTTCTCCCTGTCTGACACAAGGAACGCCTGAACCCCTCACTTGGTGACAGCAGAGATAACTGGCCATTCTTAAGGACCTTTACTGCCAGAGGCAGGAGTTGAAGCTGGATATTGATTTTGATACATAAAGTGGCTATGAATATTTGTACAGAGGTTATTGTGCAGACAAAGTTTTTCGTTTCCCTGAAGTAAATGTTCAAGAATGCAATCATTGAATACTATGCTTGCATATTTAGTTTTTAAGAAACTGCCATACATTTTCCAGAGTGGCTGTACCATTTTACACTCCCATCAGCAATATACAAGTTATCCAATTTCTCCACATCCTCATCAGCATTTGGTCTTGTCACTATTTTATATTTTAGCTACTCTAATAGGTATGTAGCAATATTTCACTGTGGTTTTAAATTACATTTCTGAAATGGTTAACAATGTTGAACTTTTTTTTTTTTTAATAAGATGGCTTATTTGCTGTCCGTATACCCTCTTTGATGAGACATGCTATATTTACCATAGCGGTTATGGTCCCACGAGGCCTGACAGAGCAAGAGTCTTCTGTGTTTGTTCTCTGCACATCCTCAGAGCCCAGAATACTGCCTGGCAGAAGATGTGAACTCAGTGAATATGTCAAGGAAACAAAGTTCTGGCCTGTGCGGTCTTTGCCCTTTTAAAGATGAGAAGGTGGGGCAGCAAGGGAACCTTAGCTCTGCAAAACCTTCTGAGCAACTGGTCTGAGCTGAGAGAAGGTCCAGGCTGCTCCAGGATGGAGAAGAAGGTAGGGAAGGGAAGGAGCACTCATCATCCTGTGTGCCCCCCAGTTCCCTGGTGCCTCTACAGCAGGATCTATACATCTCACTTCTTCCTTCCCTTAATTCTGCCTTCCCAGGGCTGAAACTTCCAGGAGATAAATGTATGAGGATAATTTCCCACAGAGACATGGGGCTTATTGGTTTTCTTGTTCTTTTTCTTTTCTCCTCATTTGTACCAAGATAAGGGTCAGACCACATTCAGACATGCATGTCTTAGAAAAAGCCAATTTTTTTCCAGGTTGAAAATGTTAACAGGCTGGGACTTGTGCTTCCTGAATGGAAGGGATGCCAGTCACCCTCTGCCCTGCCCTACTCTTTACTGATAGACACAATATACAGATGCTCCTGGATGGTGATGGGGCTACAATCCCACAAAACATATTATAAGTAGAAAATACTGTAAGTCAAAAATGCATTTACTACACCTAACCCACGCAACATCACAGCTCAGCCTACCCCACTTTAAACATGCTCAGAACACTTAGTATTAGCATATAGCTGGACAAAGTCATCTAACACAAAGCCTACTTTATAATCAAGTGTTGAATATCTCGTGTAATTTACTGACTACTGTAGTGAAAGTGAAAAATAGAATGGCTATGTGGGTTCACTTTCACACCACCATAAAGTTGAAAAATGGTGTCTAGCCATCTTCAGTCTGGGACCATTAATAATGACAAAGTGATTCAGAAGAGTTTCTCCCTACAGAGGTTTATACATGTATGAGGCTAACAGAATATGGTCATGATAAACTAATTAAAAGTGTACTTGCATCTATATTGATTTTCCTGTCTATTTATAAGTGAAATGGCAAACAGACAAACATATAGACTGTATTAAAAGAAAAAAGTATTAAAAGGGGAAAAAAGCAACAATTGCAAATAAAAGGAAACACCATCAGCTCTGATAAAGCCAGGAATAAATTCAGGAAGCAAAACTTATTCCATCAAATCCCTGTTCATGTACTAAAAATGGGCCACAAAATTGGTTTTAAAGTTCCTGGTAGCCAGTGCAAAATGTGAGCCTGCTACAAAGTCCAAGGACCTGTGAGAAATGATAGCTTACTATCAACAGAAGTGCTACATGGTCCTTGTCTAAGAGGTGGGCACTGTGCTCAGAGTGCACAGAACCGCTAGGTTTCACGTGGCTCTTCATCCTGTGTTCTGCAATTCCACTTTTTTTTTAAAAAGTGGAATTTAGTGAACCATGCCCAGGAAAAGCTGCTACAGCTTTTGCTACAGAACTAACACCATGCTTCTCAGGGTGCAGAGAAAAGCCCCAGCTCGTGTCAGACTGTGAATTTCAGGTGATGCCTGGCAAAGCTGAGAGGTAGAAGAGCTAGCTCTGTAGTGGGCAAAGCTGAGAGGTAGAAGAGCTAGCTCTGTAGTGACGGGGAATCCCTTAAGCAAAGTAGGGGTGCAGGCAAGCAAGTAGTCCAGAGTCCCTGAACTGATTCTCCTCCTGAGCCATGCTGCTAACCACTTGGCCCTCTCTGTGTCCCTGCAGGGCTCCGGCTGAGAACATGGCCAATGGCATTGATGAGCTCATTGGCATTCCCTTCCCAAATCACAGCAGTGAGGTGCTTTGCAGTCTCAATGAGCAGCGGCACGCCGGGCTGCTGTGCGACGTGCTTCTGGTGGTGCAGGAGCAGGAGTACCGCACCCACCGCTCTGTCCTAGCTGCCTGCAGCAAGTACTTCAAAAAGCTCTTCACAGCCGGCAGCTTAGCCAGCCAACCCTACGTCTATGAGATCGATTTTGTCCAGCCCGAGGCTCTGGCCGCCATCCTGGAGTTTGCCTATACCTCCACACTCACCATCACCGCCTCCAATGTCAAGCACATCCTCAATGCTGCCAGGATGCTGGAGATCCAGTGCATCGTGAACGTGTGCCTGGAGATCATGGAGCCCGGCGGTGATGGTGGCGAGGAGGATGACAAAGAGGATGATGATGACGATGAAGATGACGATGATGAGGAGGAGGAAGAGGAAGAGGAAGAAGAGGATGATGATGATGATACAGAGGACTTTGCTGACCAAGAAAACTTGCCTGATCCCCAGGATATCAACTGCCACCAAAGCCCCTCCAAGACGGACCATCTCACAGAGAAGGCCTATTCAGACACACCCAGAGACTTCCCTGATTCCTTCCAGGCTGGAAGTCCTGGCCATCTGGGTGTGATCCGGGACTTCTCCATTGAGTCTCTGCTGAGGGAGAACCTGTATCCCAAAGCCAATATCCCTGACAGGAGACCCTCTTTATCTCCATTTGCCCCAGATTTCTTCCCACACCTCTGGCCAGGGGACTTCGGTGCCTTCACCCAGCTGCCTGAGCAGCCAATGGACAGTGGGCCACTAGATCTGGTCATCAAGAACCGGAAGATCAAGGAAGAGGAGAAGGAGGAGCTGCCTCCACCCCCACCACCGCCCTTCCCTAGTGACTTCTTCAAGGACATGTTCCCTGACCTGCCTGGGGGCGCGCTGGGCCCCATCAAGGCAGAGAATGACTATGGTGCCTATCTCAACTTCCTGAGTGCCACCCATCTGGGAAGCCTCTTCCCACCCTGGCCGCTGGTAGAGGAGCGTAAGCTGAAGCCCAAGGCCTCTCAGCAGTGCCCCATCTGCCACAAAGTCATCATGGGGGCCGGGAAGCTACCACGGCACATGAGGACCCACACTGGGGAGAAGCCATACATGTGCAACATCTGCGAGGTCCGCTTCACCAGGTGCGAAACTATAGCCAAGGATAGGGTGCGAATGCTGGGGACAGGGCCAAAAGCTGGGAGACAACAGCAGAAAGACACATGGAGGGCCAGGGATGGAAAAAGAGCCCCAGGTTGAACCTGGTTCATAGCTGGGAGGGATGGCAGCCATTATCCAGTGGGCGGACTTGAAAACGCATTTTAAGAGCTCAAATGTTATCTCAAAAACAGTGTTAAATGGGAGCCCAGGACATAAGACAGGCCAGAGCAGAGCTGCTCTAGTGAGACAGAGGTGAGGGACCTTAGCACCTTGTCCACATGGCCTTCCTGTCTAGGGACCCTGTTGAAGGCCCCCCATGAAGGGCAGTCCTTTGCTTCATTGAGAGAAGCAGCAGCTACTCTTATGAAGCAGGACCTATATGCTAAGTGCTGGGGGAACACTGTTGCCTTTGTTTCCAGCCCATCTTCCAGTGGCTAGCTGGCCACTTGTAAGTGCAGGTGGACGGTAGCAGAGCCAGGACTTAGATCTCAGTCCATATGTGATGGCCAAGTCTGGAGAGATCCCTGAAGGCCTCTTCCATCTCCCTTAAGGGATGGGCTTCTTTTTACATCTCCCATTGGCCTGTCCATGTTAGGAAGAAGGATAAATCTCTTCTATTCTAAGATTTGAAGGGAGCACATGACAAACTTCATCTTCAGAGATACCATCCCATTCAGCAGATATGTGTTACACACTTTCCCTGTGGAGTGATTTTTGCAGTCAAAAATGAAAGGGGATGATGCGGGATCGGAGCTGTCTACTGATAGGGTTTTTAAAAGCCTCAATTGTTGAGAAATATGACCTGTTGGTGCCATCTGTGGCCCTTGGTCCCCTAGCCATACACACTGGGGAGAGGTTGGGTGAGTGGCCTCACATCAGTGCCTGGTCATTTCATGTGTTGAGTATGGACAGATTCTAGTGCCACCTGTCCTATAGCCCTGACCTGTGAGAGTAGGTCCTTTCTGCATGGCTACTGTCCCTCCAAAGAACTCACCTTGAAAACCCCCAACTTGCTCTAACCATGCCCTATCTTCCTAAATCCTCTTGGAAATGTGCCTTTGGGGATTGTTGGAGGCTTATTATTTGGATTTTCCCTCAGTGGGCCCAAGGTTTTGGCCTTTGAAGGTAGAGCAAAATTTTTGAATCAGGTTGAATATCAAAGCAAGGACTGTGCTTTCCTAGGAATAAAAAGGTAAGTCCTGAAACAGATACAACTACCTGCCTTCTTGGGTGGCCCTTCTTTGGAGTTGCCAGAGAAGGGTTTCAGAAACACATTCAGGGGGCAGTTGCATTACTAAAATAGCTCTGTGGCCTCCCCTGTGATTTTTTTGGAAGGAAATACTGGTGGATCCCATGATGACTATGGAGTCCCACTCACAGCTGCTTCTGTGAGGTTCCCCAAACAGAATCATCCCAGATGCTTCCAGGGGACAGTAAAGGGACAATCTGTAAGTGGAAGGGAAGGCCTCACATACCCAGCATGTGTCCCTTCCTTTCAACAGTAAGCCACATGGAGTGCTAACCTCCCCTTGGGTGTCCCTTGATAACAGTCCTACCTGCTAATGCCACCTTGGGCAGTGCTGTCTCACCTTCTGCCCCTGCCTTCTCTTAAATGACAAACAGGGCTCAGCTAGAATACCTGAAAAAGACTCAACCAAAACCCAGGAAGGTAGGGACATATGCCAGCAAGCAGGTAACAGCAGAGTTCACATACAGTGCCCTCATCTTCGGCAGCAGCCTTGCTCCAGCCTGAGTCTCCCAGCCCATGGGGATTGACCTCAAATTCTCAGGCCAGCTCCATGAAAGCCAGCAGCAGTATCAGCCCAGAGTGCCCTCTCCTTCCTAGGCATGCCCCTCCTCCCAGGCCCCCCATGCCTGCCCTTGGCAGATGGCTGCCACTGGAATCACCTCCCCTTTTTCAGGGGACTCCCAGGCCAGTGGCTTCCACAGCATATGCATCTCAGGCTACCATCTGTGAGCCAGCTGGCACCTGACTCCCCTTCTCCCTTCCTCCCCTCTGGTCTTCCCCACTCCAGCCTTCTGTGAGGTCCACACAGGTCTGGCCAGACTGTGAGCCCCACCTTCCCTAAGGAAAGCTTTAAATTTGGCTAGTGGCTGCAGAAAGATTTCTCGCCCTCTGGATTCTGGTGCATTCCCTGAGAACAGGCCTCCTGGTCTGGGCAGTGATGCAATTTTACATAGGAGGGTGACATTCCAGCATAGCCCCTCCCAGCACATTCCTGATGATCACTTAGGATAGCCTCTGTGTCTGCTGTCTCCCTACCCACTCCAGGCCAGATCAGCCCTGGGGCAGTTCTAGCCATCTGTCCTGCCTGCCCCCGGGTTACTCCTGCTCAGCGGGATGACAGCCATCTGGGCCCCCAGGCAGTCTCCAGCTGCTGCAGCTGTGATCCAGCTCCCAGCATACCTCCCCTCACTTGATTCCCACTGGGATATGACCCTCGGAACAGGATCAGACAAGCTCTAGGTCCTCTCTCTGGAGCAAAGAAAGGCCAGGGGCAGGAGACAGGAAGGGTGGAGTCTTACTGGCCTGCATCCCATCAGGGACTCTTATTTTTCACCATGAGCTGTGACTGTCCCTGCTGAACACTCCCACCACATTCTTCAGAATCACTGGCCCTTTGCTTCCTGTGCCCTCTCCAGAGATGCCCAGCAAGGATTCTTTCCTGTCCTCCAACAGCCCCAACCCTAACCTGTGCATGGTGAGATTTTTCCTATCTTTCTATAGCATAGTTCACTTGCGGCCTTTCCCTGGGGACCTGCTCTTTGGATGAGCCCCCCCACCATGATCTGTAACACCTTTCCACATCCTCTCCACCTGGATATTTTTCAGCAGTAGCGGCTGCTTCTCAGACCCCTTTGCCAATTGAAACCAAAGTGGATTGCAGGGGCCTGTCAGAGGCAACACAGACGATGGGCCCTGAAGGATGGGGAGCATTATTGCCTAGGGAGGACAAGAACGTGGTGGGCATTTTCTTGCCACTAGACACTGCAGTGGCCCCTGCCCACTTTCTTACTCCAGCACAGCATCACTGCCAACTGGTACTGGGGCTCACCTCCTCTCACTTCCTGCTACATGGGTCCTTGATCATAAGCCGTGAGGACCTACCTCCTGCCTACCACAATGGGCCCCTCTGCAGAGATCTCCTAGAGGGAGAGAGCTCCTAGAGGGCAAGGCTGGGGGGTCTCCCTCCTCAGCCTCTGGATGCTACCTACAGCCTGACTCACACAGGGGTCCCAGCCATATCTGACAGGCAGAGAATAAGGAAAGAAACAGCAAGAATGGCCCCTGAGAAAACAGGTTCTATGGAGAATGGGCCTTTCCCAGGATGGCCAGCCTCTGCTCCCTAAGAGCTCACCAGTGACAAGCCACGATGTCATCAGTTTTTGCAGAATCCCCCATCAATATTCCCAAAGGCTACGACTTTAAGGGTCCAATGCCCTTCCTCCCTGACAGCTGTCTGCTCTCCAAACAAGGCCAGCACCCAGCTCCCTCCTCCCAGCATCTTTTATCTCCAGACTGTCCCTCCCCACAACTCTGGGTACCTTATTAAGATACTGTAATGTCGGGGCCAGGGATTTATCTCAGTGGTTCAGTGCCTGCCTTGCAAATGAAAGGTCCCAAGTTCAATCCCTGGTACAAAAAAAAAAAAAAAAATACTGTAATGTCATTAGCACAGCAGCAGAAACAGAGGTGATCACAGATCATCACTCTCCAGGACATCTGGGTGGATGGTGCTGGGAGACACCTGACTGAGAACCTTTCTAGAGACAAATGCCAGGCTTGGCTACAGCCCTCTCCTACTCAGGGCATGAGCTTATGAGGACTTGAACATCTTTCCTGTGCATGGAGCCCTCCAAGTCAGAAGGGGCCCCGTGCCTCAGGCTTGAGTGCCTGTGTGCTTTTCTGGGTTTCTGATGCAGGGAAATGGAATGAGGTGACAGATAAGGGGAACTAGAACTCAGGGGCAGAGGACAGGAAGGGTAGGGAGGATGCATCACAGTTGGAGTTGGGGAGTTCTAAAATTGGCCTTGCTGGTGGTCATGGATCAGTCAAGAACTCACCACAAGTACTCATTCTGCCTACTTGTAGTGTTATGCACCTTACAGAGTACAAAAAGAATGTCCCACAGGTATGTTTCAGAGCAGATATCACTGCTACCTGCCCCGGTCAAAAAGCCATCACCGAATGGCCAAAGGCAGGGCCCCACACCGCTCAGTGGGTCATGGCACTTTGGAAAGAGCACCAGGTGGCCATCAGGAGGCTCAGGTTCAGAGCCTGGTTCTGCTTCCACCTGGCTGTATGACCTTGCCCAAGTCTTTTATTCTCTCTGGGCCTCTCAGGGGTCACTAGAGAGGGTGGAGCAAGTACTCCTTGAAGTTACTTCCCATTTCATGACTATATTACCCACAGTAAGGGAAGCTGTGAACACAGTACTGTGTCTCTGCCTCAGTTTCCTCATGAGAAGGATGGTAATTCTGACTTCATGGGCTCCAGGGAGCTCCAGCAGAATGCTCAGCCATGCTGATGATGAGTACTGAGAAGAATATCCATGATACTGGGTCCCTTCTCTGTGTCCAGTGGGGATCACTGCTTCCCTGCCCATGAATTTCCTGTCTCCCATATTACCACATCATCTGTACTCGTAACAAGCCATGCTCTAAGAGCCAGGGACAGGTGGTGGCTTGCATGCAGGCCTAGCAATATTATGCATATGGAAAGGAGGGATGGCTCTGGCCAAAGTGGCCTCTGGTCAGGTGTTGTTACCTACCAGGAGATTTTAGAGGTCTAAGCAGGGGCCACAGACAATGCAGAGTGGACTATGAGAAGGGACATATGGAGAGTCCCTTCTCAGCACCTGACCTGCTGGGAAGGCAGTGCTGAAACACATAGAGGACAGGAGACAACACCTTGTCTTCTATTGTAGCTCCCTCTTTGTCCCTCAGGTGACCCACCTTGAGGGGCAGTGTTCAGGTCACAGAAGTCTGGAAGGTCAGGGACCTGGGTGACTGCTTGAGACATGGGTGTACAGACCAGTACTGCCACCAGATGGACAAAGATGCAAGGCCAGCCAGGGCATGACCCACCAGGGGAGCAGCATGGTCCCTGTGGCCTGTGGGTAACATATTGAGGGAGGTGGCTGCAAAGCAGAGGGGGGAGAGCTTATGAAGAGCCTTACGAGCCACTTAAGGGGTAAGCTAGCAGATAGGGCAGGGGGTAGGAGGAGCTTCAGGGATTTTAATTGGGACCCCCAGACCTTCCTTCCTGAAGAGAAAATGACTAAAAGCTTAGCTCCTGAGATTCAGATTCTAGAATATTCCACCCAAATTCATGCTGCTCCCACAAGCAGACCAAATTTGTGAAGAGAAAATGGAGAAGAGCTGTCATACACAAAGCCAACCATCCAAACCAGAATAGGGAAGAAAACTCAGCACAAGGCTATTACCCAGATGCAACACCCTCGAAACATCGTAGGTCAAAGCGCTGCAGCTTGACCCCATTTTAAAGATCAGGACAAATAGACTCCAGGCAATGAGGTGACCTAGTCCAGCTCTTTAGAGCATGCCTGGCACAGGCCCACCTTGCAATGCCCCTGACATGAAACCCACATGAAGAGGTCATTGATGAAGGAGGAGGCTGTGTGGCCTTAGAATGCTGATCCCTCTCTGGTCCTTGCTTTCCTCATCTTGGAAGTGGGGGAACTGGATTCTACCAGCATTTTTAAGTGTATTGCTAATGACTCAGGTGACCAACCAACCCCTCAGATTCTGAGTCCCAGAGGTCACTACCTGATCCTAGTGGTTTCTCCAGGACTAGCCTGTCACACAGTTTACCCACTCTATCCATGCCTTATTCTGCTCCCATGAATCTCCACTAGGGAAAGACAACTCTGCCCAAAACTGAGTCCTCCTGCTAGCAATGCCATCTTTGGATTGGTCCTGTGTGCATTCACTGAGGAAGCCCACAGAGGATGCAGTTGGGGAGTCTTCAGTGGGAAATCCTCCCTCTCCTTTCCCTATGGTCTTCCCTAATACAATACTTCACCTCTGAAGAGCGACCTTCGGAGGTCTCTGAAATAGTGCATTCACCTCCCCAGAGCAGATACCCAACCACATGACAGTGAAGCGCCTTCCTAGTACTTCTTAGGCAGTGGACCATTGCCACTGAGATGAGATTAATTTTAGGTGTCCTAATATTAGAGAAGTTTGGGAGAAGCTGTAGGTATTCACAGGGTGCCCCTTGATATCTGAAGGAAGATTCAGCATTTGCATTGCTCACTGTTTGAAAGTGGTCCAAAGGGTAAATACTATTAATTATGTGCAACAGTGATTTTAAAACCTCTCATATATTTATTTCCTAAGGTTGCAGTTAGGATTAAATGAGATGATGGCTCTTCCTTCATTGATGATTTTGAGCCGAGCCTTTGCCAGGCCCCAGTGAGACACGAGCCTCAGGCCCAGTGAGTGAGCCTAGCTGTCCACCTACCATTAGTGTTGCCACCAGAGCCTGGGAAAATTTGTAGAGCCCTGGCATACGCCTCAAGACTGTACAGTAAGGCTGGGGATTTGGCTCAGTGGTTCTGCTGCCTGCCTCACAAGTGCAAGGGCCTGAGTTCGATCCCGGTACCGAAAAAAAAAAAAAAAACAACTGTAAAGTAGCATCACTGCAGTGATACAAAATGGCACTGTGCATCCACCCCTACTGTTGTACACAGGTCACAGTGCAATGGTAAGAAGGAGGTTCAGGCTCCCAAGGCCAAGATCTAGTCTCAGCTCGGCTATTACCTTCTGGGTGACTGTGGCAAGTTCCCCTCACTGGGCCTCACTTTGCCCCACCACAGCATGAAGGATTTACCAAAGCCAGTGGTTCTCAATGCAGGGCCTGGCAGCTTGTTAGAAATGCAGTTCTCTGGCCCCCTCCCAACCTCAGACTTGTGACTCAGGAGCTCTGAGAGGGGCCCAGCACTCAGTGACATAGAGTCCTTATAGTGGTTCTCATGCAACACTGAAGTGTTTGAGAGTTACTGGCCTGGATATTCTCTATTCTCTGTCCGTTCAAACCTTCAATGGCCTGGGCTGCACACGAGGACATCATGCTACTGGGGAGTGGGAGGTCACTGCAGACAGAAAAGGCTGTGGGGCTGTACAGAAGACAGCTGGTTCATGGAGACCAGCCAGCTCAGGGCAACAGTGCCACACCCCTCCCACCAGAGCCCATCCTGCTCCCCTCCTCCCCACCTCCCAGGACTCCTCCAGCCTTTGGAGAAGCACAGGTGGGAGGGCTGGCTCTGTCCTCTCCCTCCACCCGTCTAGAGTTCACAAGATCATGCTTTTCTCCCAAGAAACCTTTTTGAAACTGAGGGCCAGAGAGACCTCTAGTGGCCACAGGACACCAAGGATTCTCCTGCTGTCCTGGGCATATGCTGAGTATATTTGAAATACGGCCATTTTAGGGAGGACTTTTGGGCTGCACATCTGCTCAGACCTCAAAGCCCAGCCTAAAATTACAAGCAGAGGCCCCACCCAAGCCACACCTGCGGAGAGGAGGTGGTTCACTGCACCCACATCCTCCGGCCAGCTGGGGAAAACTACAGAGTAATCTGGACAGGACTTTGTGCACCCCAGCTGCTGCCACCTCAGCCAAGGTGAAAGGCTCCTTAAACTGGTTTACTCAGTGTGTTGTCTCTTGCTCACAAAAGCCACCTCTTTTCAGTAGCTCTGGACAATAGGGATTAATGTCCAGCCCTACATTCAGCTCTGTGCAGAGAGATTGCATAACTTGTTTAATATCACCCAGCAAGCCGGTGGGGTCTGCAGCTGGAGCAGGGACTAGGAGCCCCACCCTACCCGTGACTTACCTCATAAGCCCGGAGAAGCTTTGTCTTACATCAGCCTGCATTCTTGTTGCACCTGGCTCTTTTGTAAACCCTGAAATTTTCTGCAGACAAAGAGGAGAGAGCCCAGGGCTTAGGACAAGAAACCACAATGCAGGAGACTTGAACAAGATGTGCCTTGGCTTCTAGAGCCTCCCAGGTTGGTGTTGAGGAGAGACTGCAACAGCCCAGGGGCTGGGATGGCACCAGGGCTTCAGACAAAAGCACAAAACAAGGATGAGCCCAGAGAAAAGACTGTTGCCTGAATTAAAGATTAAAGTACAATCTGGGGTCTGCAGAAGTCACTGCACCATGAGAGCACTAAGGCCAGGATGCTGACTTTGGCTGACACATCTCCCCAAAAGTCTATTTTCCAGTGTGTGAGACAGGCCCCTGATAAGCAATGGGAGAGCCACTAATTTCAGTTTGTACGTAAAAGGAGAGGAAGGGGTCTTTTTAGGACACAGATCCCTCCCAGTTCCTTCTAATCTCGATGAGCAGATACATGTTTGAGATGGGGGACAAATTTGGGCCAAAAGTTGAAAGTAGATCCTAGCATGAGCTGCACTCCTGTGGTTTGACACCATAGCAACAGGGAGCCTAACAGGTTCCTGGGGGAAGTATTTGCGAAGGGTAAGGAGTGGCTCCCAGTGTTTAGTGCAGGGACTAATTTTGGCTTCTATACCGCAGGCAGGACAAGCTGAAGATCCACATGCGGAAGCACACCGGGGAGCGGCCCTACCTGTGCATTCACTGCAACGCCAAGTTCGTGCACAACTACGACCTCAAGAATCACATGCGCATCCACACCGGGGTGCGGCCCTACCAGTGTGAGTTCTGCTACAAGAGCTTCACGCGCTCCGACCACCTGCACCGCCACATCAAACGCCAGAGCTGTCGTATGGCAAGGCCCCGGCGCGGCCGCAAGCCCGCTG